ATGAGGCTTTTACTGAGCAGCCTCGAGTTCTAAATGAGACCCAGTCCATCGGTTCACCTTCTGCTTTCTGCTTCAGGTAAAACTTTATTTCACCAAGACGGTGGAGGAGGGATCGAACTGTGACGCCAGCAGCACGTCGGCCTCGGTGACGCCGGACGTCAGCGACAACGAACCGGATCACTACCGTTACTCCGACACGACGGACTCTGACCCTGAGAATGAGCCGTTCGAAGAGGACCACCACAACCAGATCACTAAAGTCTGACACACGTGTACATATATATATATACACACATATATATATACATATACACAGTATGTATGTACACACGGCGCTGAACCGCAGCCCGGCGCTGGCTGTGGTTCTCTAACGGGGAATAAAACCAACCGACGGACCAGAACTGATCTGAGAGACTCTGCATTTAAAGAACTCTGGTCAGAACATAAGCCCCGCCCCTTCCTGTCTTCTACTCAGCGCACACCTGGACAATCATGGCAGCCGGAGGGGAGGGGGCGGGGCCAAACGAGTGATGGATGAACGGACAGACGGGAGGTTTGAGAAATTAAAGGAGTAAAACTTGAATATAAAGAAAGACAAGTAGACTTCTTCTGCGACCAGGTTTGTTGGACGAATCCCCACGTTTCCTTCCTTCCTTCTTTCCTTCCTTCCTTCCCTCCTTGCCTCCTAAGCAGTTCCAGGAGACTTTATGCAGACCGGTCTTGGTTCAGTTTTCCTCTGCAGGCTTCACTTTGGTTCAGCTGTATCTCAGTGTTGATGGTTCTCTTTGTGCCCCAACTTCGTCCCTAAATTCACTTCTTATTCGAGATGTTTTTAGACTTGATCGTACTGACCCTCGTGGAGCTCTGAAGGACAGCTCGGTTGTAGTTCCTTGTAAAATCAGGTGATGTTCCTGCTTCTCAGCAGGAGTTCATATCACGGAAACTAACTTGACTGAATGAAATCAGAAAATTGCTGAAGTGATTAAAGCATCTCTTTAGATTTTGCATATTTCTGTTCTAGAAGGAACTTTAACCGTCCAGTTTTACAGAGTGCAGGTGGTTTTAGGGTTAGGGGCGATCACACATTACACCATAGGAGCAGAATCAGTCTGTCAACCAGAACATCTGGATACCACAGGTTTGGATCAGTCTGAGAGTTCTGGACCAACAATAACAAACTGTGGAGCTCTTGTCTTTGGAGATTCAGGTCATGGTAGAGCTCCAGTAGGACTGGACTGGACTTTTCTAGTTCTAGAAATACTAATGAGAAAAGTCCAGTTGCCTTCTGAGACGTTTCACAAAGGTTTAAAACATCTTCAACCAAAACCACAAGAGATGTTGCCTTCTTCTGAAGCTCCCAGGAACATCTAATGCTATGAAATCTCAGGAACTTTTTGTTTTAATCCTGGATTCTTGAGTTTCTTCCCAACAAAGAACCTCCAAACCCCAAAGCTGTATGTTTTCCAGATTGGTGACTCGTGTTCCAGACTGAACTCACTGGTCTGAACCTGGTCTCAGCTGGTCAGGATTTGGGAAGAAGCACTGCACAAAGAGAAGCAACAACCTGCTGTTTGAATGTGACAATGCAGAAGGGAAAGTTCACAATCTGCTGCAGTTGTGTCAATCACAAGATGCGTCTGTCTGTCTGTTTGCACAGAAGATCCTCTTCAATCAGCTCCCAGAACATGTATTTTTGTTGTACTCTGACATTATCAATCATTAAGCTAAATGACAAACACACAGTGTAATCATTCCTACATGTAGGCCGACGTCCGGAAACCTTCGACTGCAGAGCGCTCGGTTTTCTGTGTCCGGGTCGCCAGGCGGGTGGAGTTTATAACCGACGCTTTACTGAATCCTTGTAAATATTTCCGGGCGGTCCATCCAAGAACGTTGTGCTGATCGATCCGTTCTAAAGCTGCGGCGTTTCAGTTAAACTGTGTTTTTTTAAGTGAGAATTTAAGCTGTCAGGTCCGATCAGAACCTCCTGAGTCGGAGAAGTTTGTCCAGAGCAGGTTGACAAACGCTGATTTTCCAGGAACCCGAGAGTGCTGAGGGTCAAAGATGGTGACACTCGGTGATCATCACTCTGATCATCGACGTTTAAGCACTTCAGTCTTTGCAAACTTTACCTTTAACGCCAGAGACGACGGTTCAAGGTTCAGCAAGGTCCAGAGAGGAGCTCCACTCTGGTTCTGTTAGAGCTTTAGTCCAAACCAGTGGTTCTGGTTTCATCCCACAATCTAACTAGGAACCACAGATTCTTCTTCAAGTGTTTGGAATACTATTATTTCCAGGTTCCTCCTGCTTGTCCAGCGTTACTGCAAAGTACCACCACGTACTGATGGACCCCGTCGGCGCTGTGGACTCTTCGTTATGGTGCCGTCAGTGTTGGCTTGCTTCACCAGGTCCGATTTTCTGACCAGTAAATCCAGACACACCCTCTGAACATCTGTCCAAGCGATTGGAGCGTCTCTGTTGGTCATGTAGAAGTTCTGGGTTCTAGTTCTGACGCCTGACTTCCGTCCTCTCGTTTGGTGCTACTACCAGTCTGCTCATTGATCTGGAGCCTTGACTAGAGTCTGATCACACAGGAGGAGGTCCAACAACCCGGTAGTTGTGGTGTTGGACTGGTGGATGTTTTTTTGGTCAGAGGATGTTGGGCGAGATTAAGAACAGGACCAGAACCACCTGGATGTAGTCCAATTATCGGTTGGGTCATTCCAGAAAAGCTACAAAGTGATAAACTGATTTATCCTCAGAGTGGATCCTGTCTGTAGACGGTTCTGGTAGGTTCTGGAGGTAAACCGGTCCTTCCATTGTCTAAAACTGGTTCTGACCAGCCACCATCACACATGCTGATACGAGCCTGGAAAGTTGACCCAGAAGTCACTTTGTTAAGTTTCCTCTGGTGACTGATCAGAACCAGAACCACATCCAGGGTACCAGTTTAATGTCTATGACAGAGTCATAGACATTAAACTGGTACCACTATGATCCATCCCATAATACTGATGCTACCAGCTGCTGACAGAGGACATGAACAGAACCAGGTCCAGAGTTCAGACTGTGACACCTGGATGGATGTAGAACTGATCTGGTGTCAGGTTCTACACAAATGTGTTTTCCCATTAAAATCCATTGAAGTGATGATTCTGGACCCTGCTCTATGGACATGAAGGCCCGGTTCTCTGGAACATTCACCACTGAAGGTAGAACTGTTGAAGTTCTTGTGGCTGGTTCTGAGGTGGAACCTTCTGTCAGATTTAGTTGATTTTTATCAGACTGACCCAGATTAGCGTCATTTTCACCAAACAGAACCTCCTCCTGTTTGATCAGCCTCTTCAGGCCCGTTGTGTTTCGGTGCTAGGCTTCCGGGTCGAGCCGTCGTCCATCCGTGGTGCTCTACAGCGAGCGTTCGTCCAGCTCTGTCAGGCGATCAGCCGCCACTTTACAGCAACAACTCCCGTCTCGTTTGGTGCTGTCAGACCTGGCCTCATCCTGACATCGACCCGCTCGGACCTGAGCGACTCATTCTGAGTGGCAGATCTGATCCAACATCTGGTTTAAGGTTCGGATCAGGATCAGAAAGTGGTTCTGGTCCAGCATTAAACACGTGCAGCTAAAAACAGCCTCATTTCTAATCAGATTCAGCTTCGACATTTCTTCTTCGGTGTCTTCATGGCCGGGCGGAATCCTCCTCGGCTGGGTTCGTGTTGGTGAGCCGGCGTCAGGTGTTGGAGGCCGGGCAGGTGCTGTCCACGTCTCTGACTGTTCAGGTGCTCCATACCTTTTCTTCTGTTCTAGTTGTCCGTCGTCGACGAGTTAAGCTCATCTGGACAGAAAGTGAACAGAAACCGTGTCGACGCAGGAAACGACAAACCTGCTGACGTCTTACAGTCCACGCTGTTCTGTTCCGACACGTTCAGGGTTCCTCAGTGAGGAGGAACCCTGAACGTGTTCTCTTCACCACAGTGAACATTCAGAGGAGCTTCAGGCTTCGGTCGACCAAACAGTGCTTCAGCTCTCTTCTGTTTACATCACAAACCTGCCAAAATGAAGCTCAGTCTCATGTTTCATTTCTCAGTTTTAGTTCTTGCTGTTTGTTTGTCAGTCTTGGAGTTAAAGAGGTCGTTGAGTTCTTCTGGCCTTCAGGTGTGGCCACGTTCCGATCCGCTCTCCAGGTATGTTAGACCACAGTAACAGATTCTGCATTTCATAACCTCGTGTGTCAGCGTTTCAGTCTTTGAACTACTTGTTGAGCTTTTGACTGAAGAACGGATCCGTCATGTGACCACACCTCCCTCAGAGGTCATGAACCACATCCGTCAGTCCAAGAAATGTACAAACCAACACGCTAACAGCTTCTCTGATGTTGTTAGCGTCTCTAAACCAATAACAGCTGAGAGTTTACTAAGCCCCGCCCCCCAGAGCTGCTGTTGCTGTCCGTTCTTGACCATGAAGCCAGAAAAAGTTGTTTCATTTCACCTTTAAACTGTCATTTTAGCTAAGTGGCTAATCAAGCTAATATCTGCTCCTTAAATCTGCTGACTTGATTCATTGTTTTGAGTTTAGTACGAGGAAAGGCTTTCAGGACTGAATAAATAGTTTTTGGAGCGTAAAGTTCAGGACAGAGCCGCTCGCCGCTAACATTAGCATGACCTCTGTTAGTACCCAGGACCAAGCAGCTCCCAGAGCAGCTGAGGTGTCGCTTCAGTCAGTAACGGCTCGTCTCCGAGGAAACGTCTGTTATAAGCTAATCACTTAGCTGGACATGCTAACGTTACTTTTCCATAAGCTGTGATTGGACAAATCAGTGTTTAGGGGCGGGGTTTATGAAAATAGGTGAGATTCAACCCAGAACATTGTCTGCCAGGTTGAATCTGAAGTTTTTGTCCCACTGAGTCGGTATTGATGAGTATTGATCAGGTTCTGACTGATGTGGTTCTGTAGCATCATTTCAGCTGCACAAACTGGTTTCTGTTGCATCAGATTTTTGTTTTCCTCTGAACAAGAGTCCAGTTTTTCCCCGAACACCACCATGGAGAACATTTCATGTTAAACTGACCCCCCTCCCCGGTTCTTTTATTCTGTCCCTTCTTGTTTTATAATGAAATAAAACACTGTAAAGGTGAATAAACTATTTATAAACAGCTGCTGTCGCCTGTCTGAGAGTCTTGAGATGCACAAAAACTCCACTAAAGCAGATATTCAGTTTGTTTTGGTGCCGTTTGGAAATATGCTGCATTTATCAGGTAGAATTATTGTATTAATAATAATACACCTTGATCCTCACCAGGGTCATGGGGGGCGGAGTCTATCCCAGCTGACTCAGGGTGAAGGCAGGTTCACCTGGACAGGTAACCAGTCTATCACAGGGCTACACTTAGAGACAGACAACCAAGCACACTCACATTCACACCTACGGACAATTTACAATCACCAATTAACCTCAGCATGTTTCTGGACTGTGGGAGGAAGCCGGAGAACCCGGAGAGAACCCACGCTGCACGGGGAGAACATGGAGACTCCACGCAGGAAGATCCCGGGTGTCCTCACCGGGACGCCAACCGGCGACCTTCTAGCTGTGAGGCGCTAACGGTGCTAACGGTGCTAACCACTGATCCACCTGCAGCCCAGGTAGAATTGTTGTGAACATGAAACATGAGCGTCTGTTTTACTTTTGTTTTTACTACAAGGAGCCAACAGGTCCAGCTGAGGGATGAATGATCCTGCTGATATTCTGACAGAAAGTGATCTTTAATGTGTAAAAGTACGTTTTCCTGATGTTGTTTTCAGTACTTATACGTACATGCAGTTCTGTGAAGGAGTATTTAAAGTGTGCTGTCGGTGCAGCGAAGGACGTCCAATAAGACAACAGTTATAAATCACAAACTCTAAACGTTTACTGATGCGTGTTTCGGTCCCAGTGGACTCAGAGATGATGAGGAGGAGGATGAAGGTGAAGATGGTGAACATGATGAAGGGCAGCTCTGCCTCTGAAGCGGTTTCCTGGTTTTCTGTCGACTGCTGCGTCCTGCAGAAACACTGATCTACCAGTGACTTGGCAGAAATGATAATCGCTTCCCCCACAATGCACTGCAGCAGCGCTACTGAGCGCGCTCCAAACGACTGGAGAACAGTGAGGAGAAATTAGGTCACACACACTCCGTGAGCCTCGTGGGCACCGAACCATAACTAATTCTGTCTTATCTGCTGCTATAAAAAGATCAAAGCAAGTGTGAAGAGGAACCGCAGACTGAAGCTCTGCAGCTCAGCGGCTGGACACAGTACCAGAACCAGCAAGGACCCGGTGACGAAAACCTCAGAGGAATAAAGAAACCAGTCAGAAACATGCCTGGAAATGGTCCAGAGCAAGTCCTTAAAACCACTTAGGAACCAGTAAGGAACCAGTCCTTTGAACTGGGAAGTAAACTCGTCAGAACCCCGTCTTAAGATCAAGACAGGAACTAGTCCTCAGCACTCATCAGGAACAGGTCTTGAAAATAAGGCAAGTTTGAAGAACTAGTCAAGACCCGGCCAGGATTCAATGCTTAGAACCAATTAGGGATCTAGCAACTAGTCCTGAGAACGAGTTCTTGGACCCAGTCTGGAACCGGTCAGGAACCAGTCCGTACAACAAGGCAGTAAACTCGTCTTTAGGACCAGTCAGGTACTGGTCCTTAGAACCAGGACCCAAGAATCAGTTCAAACCAGCTGGTTTAGTTGAGTTTAGTTCAGGAAAAGAGGAGACAGGTTTAATCCAGAAAAGTTTCACTTTATTTAAAGACAAAAACAGAAACATTTAGTCAACAACAATCTATTAATTTAATTCACAACTTTTAATAAACTTAATTAACTTGTAATAACCGGTTACTGATTAACTGATGACTCATTGGTTATTGATCAGTGTCTCCTGCTGGACTCACAGCGAGGCCTTCAGCGCACTGAGCATGCTCAGTGCAGACTCCACGCAGCCGTCAAAGTTGGAGTGGCAGAAGGCGTCGCCGCCGCAGACCAGCAGCGGTTGGTCGAGGACGATCATGTGACCTGGACAGTCTGGTACCGAGGTCAGCACCTGCAGGAGCGACAAGAGGGGTCGTAAATCAAACGCTCCCTCACCGGGACGAGTCCAGGTGGACGTGGACTCACCTGGGAGTACCTCCACTTATGGCACTTGGTGCTGATTGGCTCAGGCAGACCAGGGAGAAGTCTGTGGAGCTCCTGCAAGATGATTGGCTGGACGTCCTCCTTGTCTCGCTCCAGATGCTCCAAGCCGAACGGGACGCTGGTGTGGACGACGAGGGACGGACCGAGACCAGGTGAGTCTGAGAGGACAGACAGGAAGCAGTCAGACAGGTGGACAGGAAGCAGTCAGACAGCTGGACAGACAGACATACAGACCTTTGTTTCGTTTCCTGGAGTCCACAGCGATGTAACAGATGCAGCGACTGTCGCTGACGTATCGAGCCCCCCAGGAAAAACTGAAGGCGGCATCTGGAGAGAAGAAAAGAGCGACGGCGAAACGAGACGAGTAGACGACTCCGTCTAACTGCTGCTTCTGCTGGACAGACAGGACTGACGGACAGACAGATGGGACATAGTTCAGTACACGATGCACAGGATCACTGTCCAGCTGCATCATGGGAATGTAGGAGTCTGGGTTCACAGGGGTACAGCTTTTCTTTTTAAAGATATATTTTTGGGAGAAGAGTGGGGGAATGACATCACATTGCATACTCAGCTCTGATTGGACAGTTTCTTCTGTTCCAACAGTTTTATTA